CCTTCCTCATGGGACTGTGCAGATGTCTGGGTCGTGAGGAGGCTCCTGTGTGGTTGAACCCCAAGGCTAGAGCTGCCTGGCATCAGAACTTCCCCGGCGTATTTCAGCAGAGGCGGGTGGTGTCCCTCACCCCGGCAAGAGCGTAGTGTGCGATGGGCATAGAGACCTTCTTGGCTATAGGGTGCAGGGCATGGCCAGCACAGGCCATCTGCCGTCTTCCCAATAAATCTGCCCTCGAGGGTAGGAGCAGGCGGAGGGAAGCCCAGCGATGCCAGCGCTGAGGGAAGCTCCGCAGGGCCGGGGAGGTTTGTGCTGCTCTTCCAGTGCCATCTGGTGGGACAGCCCGACCAGCGCAGCTCTGCCCAAAACCTTCCTCTGGTTTTTACTGCGTTCCCCTGGTGCGTGGAGAGGATGTGGGAGGAAATGGCTTTGAGATCAAATAAGAGTGGCCCTAAGGTTACGGCATGGGTCTGGGTGACCTGCCCTGGTAGCCCCCACGCATGCTGGGTGACTGGGGCTGTTTTCTGTGTTCGTGCTTTTCTTTCCACCCCCCTGACGCCCAGATGAGGCGCGTTCACCTCCCTGGGCAGAGGTGCAGCCGAACTGAATTCAAGGCCGTCGAGATCTGTGTGGTGCTCGGACAGAACTGATGATGGAGCACGAAGGATTGCTGCTGTGGGGAGGTGTCGTGTGGCCATAGCTCGACCATGCATCAGGTGTGCCCAGTCTCAGAAGCTAAACTTCACAGCCCTGCCTCTGAACCAGGCCACTGGGTCTGACCAGGACTCAGATCTAGCCCAGGTTTGGAGGCAGACGTGCAGCTGTGGCAAGCAGATGTGCAGCTGTGGCAAGCAGCTGCAGGAGCTGGATCTGATTTTCCACGATTTCTGGCCTTGAGACTTGTGGCTCAGGTGCCAAAGAGGAAGGAGGTGAAGGTGTGATGTTCCCAGTGATGGCAGAAAACAAAGCCGCGAGATAATGCACCTCTCAGCTCTGGCTGGATAATTTGTTAATCAGAGGAAATAAATGAAACTTATCTTTTCTCTTCTGAAGAAGCAGCCCTGGGTTAATGGTGTATGTAAAGAGGCAGGTTGGGGCTTCTTGTCTGTTTGAAGGTTCTCTGGATGCTGTTCGTCCTCCTTTTATTCCTTCCCTTATACCTGAGGGATTTTGGGAGTCTATCATCACAGGCGAGCACACACCTTTCCCGTTCTGAAGCTGCCTGGTTTGGGCTCCCTTAGCTCGGACAGCTTTGGGACGTGGTCTGCTCTGCTTGAGACCCTCAGCTCTTGCCAAAACTCAGCAGAGGTGTGTACGGGGCAGGAACACACAAACCCATCTGGGGAGGAACGTTTCTTTCTCATCTCGCCTACTTTTCTTTCCTTCCACCGTGTTCTGCATGGTGCTGCAACTGTAGCACTTCGGGGAGCTGCTGGGCTCTGTCTAAGTGCTGGAGTGTCTCTCCAGGTGATTTTGCTCAGGACACGACACGTTGCTGCTGACTCAGGCCTGCCTGTGGTGAAGTGTTGCCACCTGCCAGAAATTCGTGTGGCTCTGCAGTGCTACCTTCTGTTTTATCCGTCCCACTCTCTGCTCTCACCTCCCTTTCTCACTCTCCGTTCAGTTCTTCTCTGTATCCTCTTCAACCCTGGATGCTCGAATGTCCTTTCCTCTGAGTTTCCACAGCTCCATATAACCCATTTGTCCTTAGGTCTCCCAAAATATCTGTAGGGTGCCTTGGGTCTCCTGTCATCAGCAGGGGTGACTGCCTTCCAGGAGTGGACTCTTCTCCCTGCAGCTCTGGCCAGTGGTGTCAGCCATGCATGAGAAGGGTGTGTGACGCTTTTCCAGCAGGTCCCAGCAGGCTGCAGTGCTCCCACCCTGTTCCCTAGAGCTGGGGGAACTCGGCTCCTGCAGTGAGAACTGCAGCATCCCGCCCCTCCTGCCCTAACCAGTGCCTTGCAGCAGGGCACGCAGTGGGATCACTTACTGCTGGATCCCCTCTAGCCAGCCAAATCCCTCAGGAGCTCTCAAGGAGCTCTGGCTGCCTGAATCCCTTGGATTAGGTATCTGCCATCCCTTATTAGCTGCTCAGTGCCATGCTCTCGGGCTCCATTCCCCGTGTTTCAGTGCCTTTTGATGCTCTTCCCTTGGCTGCAAGGGCTCTGCTCCCAGATTCTGCCTTAATCCCTAGGAGAGGAGCAAGGGGATGTGGAGAGGGAAGACCAAGAAGTGGTGTGCATTCACTTCTGATGGTCTCCTTATGCAGGTGCAGGGACAAAAGGCAGGACTGGGTTTAGGCTGTCTCCATCTGCGTGACCTGGGGGACAGCACTAGGTAGAGGTGCCATCAGGGCAGGGGTTGGCAGGACTGTCCTGCCAGCTGGCAGCAAAGGTCCTCTTACAGATGCGGTGGGAGTTCTATAGGTGCTTTCTGTCCACTGAGGGAACTGACCATCGATTCCTACCCACCTCTCCTGCCTGCTTACCATGAGAAGGTCTGCCTTCTTATCCCCTGGAATGAGGAACAGCAGCAGGAAAAGCAAGGAAACAAAGTGTGAGTTTTGTGGGTTTTTTTTGTTTGTTTGGGTTTTTTTTAAGGTTTTCTTTTTTTTTTTCTATTTTCAGCCCCACAACTAATCGCTAGGCTCGAGTCTCTCTGTCTCCCACCCATGTACACACCATCAGTGCACAGGAAATTCAAAGCACAAATTTTACCCTCCGGAATATCATCACCTCCCCGTTGTTGCGCGAGAGCCCAGCATTGGATCCCATGGAAGTGTGGTCCCGGGTTGAATCGGACAGCAAGCAACGACTCCGGTGGCTGATAAGGCAGAACTGAGCTGTCTCCTGATGTTGGAGCTGTCTCCTGATGTCTACTGTGCTCTAATAAAGCCGGCAGCTGGATCCTGAATTTGCATTTGAAATGCCTCAGCTGTGCTTGGAGATGTGCCTCAAAAACCTCCGGAGGGTACGCTGCCACTTCCTTCTCTGCCTGCTGATTTTATTTCCCGTTTCTTCACGGTGGAAAGTTTGAAGCCCTGCCGGGGGGGAACCTTTTCCCCATGAGACTGTGAGTCTGTTGTGGCTCGGGGAGGGGGGAGGAACGTGGGGAGGATTATTCTGACTGCAGTCTCAGCATGGAATTTGAGGGCATAACCGGGTTTCAGCAAACACTTTGGGAGGCTTGATGCCAGTGAGAGGGTCAAACCTGAGGACAAAGGAAAGTGCTGGAAAGATGTTGGAAAGAAAAGCAGGCAGTATCCATCTTCGCAAGGGACCAGGCTTCTGTCCTGCAGCTGCTCTTCTCGTATAAGTCACCTTCTCAGTGCACACGAGACATGAGGAGGCTCCTTGGTAAAGAAATCAAACCACGTTCTTCTCCATGATCTGTGTTTAGATGTCTACTACATTCTTTCCTTGCCCTTTACCTTCTGCCACATTGTTCTCCTCTGTTGTCTGATGTGTGTTCTTCCTTGCACTGTCCTACTCACCTCCAGCTCTGCCCTGTGTGCCCTCTGTGCCAGCTCCCTGGATGTCTTGCTAGCACATCAGTTGGGTCTGCCTTGAGGAAGTTCCAGCTAGCCCAACTAACCAAGCAAAGCTTCCTCCTTCTTCCTTCTGGTTGTTTTGAAGACCTTATTGCGGCTTTTCAATACTTAGAGAGGGCTTATAAGAAAGATGGAGAGAGATTTTTTTTTACCAGCACCTGTAGTGACAGGGCAAGAGGCAAAGGTTTTAAACTGAAAGCAGCTTGATCTAGATTAGATAGAAGGAAGAAATTCTGTATGATGAGAGTGGTGAGACACTGGAGCAGGTTGCCCAGAGAAGCTGTAGCTGCCTCATCCCTGGAAGTGTTCAAGGCCAGGTTGGATGGGGCTTTGAGCACCGTGGCAGGGGTGTTGGTCTAGATGATCTTTAAAGGTCCTTCCCAACCCAACCCATTCTGTGATTCCTGAGTCTCACCTGCTGATTGAACCTGTCTCACCCTTTTTCTCCAAGTATCTTGACTCATTGGCATTTCTTCTCAGAAATCTTTCTGATTCAGCACGTATCTCAGCATATAAACCAGCCCTTTTCAGCCTGAGAAATGGAGCCTGACTCCTTGAAGCAAGCACTGCTCTGAGCTTCCACAGGCTGTAAATCAGGTGGTGATAGAGACGTGTCTGCGTGTGCTCTTCCCAATAACTTCTCAAACCATCAACACTTTTTTAATTTTTTTTTTTTAATTCCACTTTGCTTGTTCTCCTCCCTGACCTCATCCTCTATTTCTCCTTGGATATATCAAACTTGTGATTATTTCTCTTCCTCTTCCTAAGGCTGCAACTCCCCAGTCTCACTTCTACAGGAACAGTTCCTTGTCCGAGATGTGTTCCAGTGCTAGCTGCCAACTGGAGCTGACTTCCCAGGGTGAGACATAGCGTGCCATACTTGATGTAGCAAACACAGCTTAAGGACAAGAGCGAGGGCAGGAGGAGTTTTGTATTGGCCTGTGCTGCTGGTTAAACTGGGCTAAGGCCCATGGTAGCTGCAAACCTAAGAGCAACGGCAGGATTGCTAACAGCCAAAGAAAGGCATGAAGATAAGGGAAGGAGGGAAAGTAAAAAAAGAAGGGTGAAAAAAGAAAAAAAACCAAGAGATTTTAGAAAGGAAACGTATCGACTGAGAATCTGATATGGGGAAGGAGTGCAACTTACTTTCCAGTTGTTAGGTTCCCATTTTTCTTTCCTCTCTCAGAAGTTTCTGTAGTGCCAGGGCTGATTTCCTGTGCTAAGAAACCCAAGATCTGTTCGGAGCGTTTCTGAGCTCCCAGGAATTCTCGGGTTATCACCAGTGCTTCCAGTGTTCAGCACAGCCTTCTTTTGACAGGCAGAGGGTGAACGAGTAGATGGGAAGGGGCCAGTGACTTATTGGTGTCTACCTCTGGAACCAGGAGAACAAACGGTCCCCCTTTCACATAGCAAAACTAAGGAGAAGGCTCAGTGACCACGCTGTGATTAAATGGCATCGGAAATCACCTACGCGGAGGTGAAGTTCAAGAACGCACCACCAGCTGCAGTGGTCAAAGGTAAGGAATGGGGTGAGTTACTCAGGGGAAGGGGACCTGGAGGGAGGGGGGCTGAAAAATAGGGAATGGAGACTTTTCCTTCTGTGGCTCTGCTTCCTACCTGGTCTTGACGAATCGGTGAGGAAAAGGAGTTGTCTACCACTACGTGTGCAGGAGACTGGAGGAGTTTTGAAGTGAGAGGGTCAAGGAAAGTCTGCAAGAGGAGAGGTGGAATCTTTGGGTTGTTGGACTTGCAACATGAACAAACTGGGAACACAAACAGTAGGTTTCAAGCGAGCCTTCACTAAGGAACGTGTTTGTGCTCCCTTAGTCCCCTGGTGGCAACACCGACAGTGGCGAATGGTAGAGGGTCCAGGATGGGTGCTTAGCCCTGGTACGATGCAGGCAGTGGCTGCCTCTCTGTATGTTACCTAGTCTTGGTCGAGAGAGCCATTTTTGGGTAAATACTGAGCACCACCGATAGAGACTATGGTTTATTACAATCTGATCCATCACCAAGGTGAAGGGGCTCCCAGGGCAGTAAGCCCTGGCTGCTACTGCTCTTGCTTCCAAGAGAGTGAGGCTGAGAGATTCCTGCTTATGGAGAGGGAAGGAGTAGAGAACCACCGTGCCTCCTTGCAGTAGTGCAGTCAGTTGCCCTCTGCAGCTTTGTGAGAGGTGGCACTGGCTGCAGAAACTTACAGCTCTGTTGTCCTTGGTTGATTGAGGAATGGTCCTTGGAGAAGAGAGACTCGAAAGTCAAAAGAAAGAATGGGCTTGAACAAAACACCCTAAAATACACAGAGGAAGGATTACCTAAGATCTGGAGGAAGGTCCAATTCTGTGATCGATGTCTACCACTCCTGAAAAATAATGAACACACTAAAGAAGCACATTTTTATTGCTATTAAAATCAGTGTTGTAAAAGGGTGCCCTTACTAGGCTTTGTGTAAATTTAAGACATGTTCTGATCAGTATGTGTTCTGTAGTTATTATGCCACGACTAGGAACTCGTACAGATCTTCTGTGTACGACTCATCGCTTCCACCCTTAGACACAGGGCCCGACGCAACAGCAGGTTCCAGAGAGGTGGAAGTATGTGTGTGTAAATAAAGAAATTATTATTATTGCTGCTGAGGATGATAACTTGCCTATTTACAACTTTACTTCAGTTTTGCAATCCCAAACAGATTAGGCATCAGCTCCAGGTTATCCCTTGCCTGCTGTGAGGCATGAGTCATGGAAATAAAGAACGTCCATTCTCCTAACTGACTTGAAATCTCACTGTTTTCGCCATACCAAGATTAGCTGGTTCTGGTTACAGCTAGCATTTCCGTCACAGCGAGGTGGGACTGGTGGAAGTTCCCCACTGTGTTCCCAGCAACCTGTTCCAAAGGTGCCTGATCCAGCTGTGTTTGATATGAGCTGCTGATGCCGAGCTCATGCCATAGGTTTGGGTGTGTGAACAGGGTCTGTCTTTGAGCGTGCCCATCCAGGTGATCACACACCGGTTGTAGCTTACACTTGGAATTCAGGGAAGTGCCCAGTAGTACCATTGCACACAGTGGTAACGTCTCTCACAGCCTCACGGTATGCTCACAGGGCGAGTTATGATTGAAAATTGCTGACAGATTGAGGGAGTGTTGTGGCTTTGTTGTCCTTCTGAGTGGTTATGGTGGCCATGCAGACTCCGTGTTGGTAATGGCCAAGCTCCCCTGGCTTTTCCCATTCTGTAGCATCTTCTAGTTGGGCTCTAGAGATAACAAAATTGGCAGACATTGGGAGATAGAGAGGAGAAGGCATCAGCTAGTCAAACAGTGTATAATCTGTGGCGGGAATGTCAGAGACTATCCTGGAGTAGATTTCACACCACAGCGCAGTTAGGGCTCCTGCATTTTCAGCCAGGATTTCCCAGGTAGCAACATAGGCATCTGCGCTGCCCAGCGCTTGCTGCATGTGACTAGGTCCTTGTCTTCACTACAGACAAAAGGTCTGGCTAGATAAACATGATTTGACCGGGGAAATCTGGATCTTGTCTGTCTATGGATGTTTTCTCTTCTGATGACGAAAGATGATGCTTTTGCTGCTGCATCAGCCTCCCCCAAGCCTTTGGGAAGCAGTCAGAGGGCTTCCCCAAACAGCAGGTTTCTGGAAGTCTTGCTCACTAGGTCTGGCTGACAGGCACATGTGGCTGCTGGCAGACTTGGGAGTTTCATGCTGAACCATAAATGGGGCTCTCTAAAGCTTGCCATTGATATCAGTCCCTCCCCAACCTTCTCTACTCCCGTCCTGCAGTGAGTGCTACTCTCTCTTTACTCTCCTGGTGTGTAACTTCCACACCAGAACTGAAATTGCATTTTTTTTGAGCAGCTCTCCCTTGGGTTGTACATCCTTGGTATGTGGGTTGACTGAAGCATAGTTGATTGTGCCACTGTGTTTGGTGTATTCCTCCACTTTTAGTGCCTCCTGAGACCAAGAAGCATGAGCACCGTTCCCAGAAATACCCGCCTTGGCTCCCGTGGCTGATCTCACTGCTGCTCCTCTTGGTGTGCATTGCCCTTGTTGCTGCTCTTTTTGGTGAGTATGTGCAGTTTGGTTACAGGAGAGAGGTCTGGGGGAAGCGCTGGGAGAAAAGCAGAGAAATCAGAGCCCAGAGGGGAAAATCTTCCAAACAGAAGGGAACTTTTACTCAGGAACCGTTTTGTCCTGAAAAAAGGAGGCAAGTGCCAGTGTTTGTGCTCAGAAAACCTGAGTGTTGAGTCTTTGAAAGATATGTTTAGGAGAAAAATCTTTCCTGACTACTTAAACATTGGGGATTCAAGGGTACAGTTGTGACATAACACAAACTTCTCTCTTGCAGGCCATTCAAAGCAGATGTTTTGGCCAACTGGTATTGGAGCTAGGACTACCACAGCATTATTCCAGATAGTTCTGTTGTACACATTCTCTTTCTTAGAAAGATGGAAGGAGTTAGATGGGAAGGGACCTCTGGAGGTCTCCAGTCTAATGCCCTACTTGAAGCATGACCGTCTTTAGAATTTCAGGATTGCTTGGGCTTTCTTTAAGGACTTAGGCTTTTCTGCCCTGACCTTGTACCTGTCTGCATACATCCCTCAAATCTTCCACTGTTTACCCTGAGGCCTTTCCAGTGTTCCCAGATTGTACATTACCATCTTACACGACCTCTTTGGGACCATGGAACAACCCTCTACCCGAATACCACAGAAAAAGAACTTCATTACATTCAGCAGAGGGGAAAAAGCTGTTCCTCTCCCTTTCCAGTCACTCCCGCCTCCCACAGCGATGACCAACCCACAGCCCTGCAGCAGAAATTCACGGAGTGGCGGTGCGTCTCGGCGGTGCCGCAAGGCAGAGGTCAGTAGTGCCGGAGGGGTGCAGGAAGGCTTTGGGATGGGAACGAGGAACGCTGGGATCTGCTCTGACCGCGAGCATCAGTGGGAGCAGACTCTGGAGAAGCAGACTCCAGGGGGGAGAGGTGGGAAGAAAGAGCGTTTGATGCTCAGCTCGGGGAGCAGAGGGCCACATGAAGGAGGTTCTGGAGGGCAGGTGGTGCGAACGCCGATGGAACAAACGGGACGGCGCACAGCAGCACGGGAAAGGTCAGCAACGGAGCAGCAATGGAAGTGCAGCTCTGGTCAGGGAAAGAAGCAATACTCCTCGTTCCCAGGGCTGAAGGCCTAAAGGAGACTGTGCAGGAGAAGCCAAACCAGATGACCAAACCAACTGTGTCTGTGTCAAGTCAAGAGCTGAGATCCCGTTCCCAGGATTGCCGTGTGTTTGCGTCCACAGCGCTCCCTGGTCATGCCCCAGAGCCATTGGAAGGAATGTCTGTCCTGTCCTTGTTTTGCCAAGCCCTTTGTGTCAGCAGAAGGACCATCCCTGGAGAATGGGGCTCCTGGCAGCCACCATCCCTCTCACTGTCACCGTCCGTATCTGCCCTCTCTCCCCGCAGGGAAGGACTGGACGTGCTGCCCGAAGGGCTGGAGGCGGTTTCAGCAAAGCTGCTATTACGTGTCGAATGATTCCATGTCCTGGCAGGAGAGCAAGCAGAACTGCACCGGGATGGGTTCCCAGCTGGTGGTGATCAACAGCATGGCGGAGCAGGTACGTGCGGGGCCGAGAGAGGGGCCGGCAGCCGCCGGCCCAGCGCCGGGGCCCCCCG